GTGTGACAACAGGGAGATTTTGGGAGACACTGGGAGCCTATGTCTTCAACCCACAGGCTTGAGTGGGAAGCCTGGCTGGTTCCGTCACCAAGAATCACCAGGGATTGTGGGGTGGGGGGGGTTAGTCAGGAGGGTAAGGGGGAACTGGGAGAGCTCCATCAAGAAGTGTCCTCATCAAAAAGGCAGACAGACTGACACCATCTCTCACAAAGATGGTGGACAAACGCACACACACTACCTCACCAAGATGGCAGACAGACTGACACCATCTCTCACAAAGATGGTGGACAAACGCACACACACTACCTCACCAAGATGGTAGACAGACTGACACCATCTCTCACAAAGATGGTGGACAGACACACACATTACTTCACCAAGATGGCAGACAGATTTACACTGCAGTTCACAGAATCTACTCTCTGTCACCAAGATGGTGGGCATACACATCCCACTTCACTAAAATGACAGACCTACAACCTCCCTTATCAAGATAGTGGATAGAGCCAAATCTCACTCCAAAGTTTTTATTGTGTTTTAGGATGTGGGAGTCTTTGGTCAGACAGACAGCATATATTGTCTAGAGGGCAGTTAACAGTCACCCACAATGCCATGGGTCTGGAGTCACATGTCAGCCAGACCAGGTGAGGATGGCAGATTTCCTTGCCTAAAAGGATGAGTTTTTTTTTCTAACAATGGTTTAATGGTCATCATTAGACTACTCACTTCAGACTTTTAGTGAATTTCAATTCCACCATCTGCCATGGAAGGACCTGAATCTAAGTCCTCAGAACAATTTTGAAGAAGTTACCAGACTCAAAATGTTTCTCTTTCCACAGATACTACTAGACCGGCTGAGCTTCTCCAGAATTTCTGTTTTTGACCTCAAGAAATTTAGGTGGCAATCCCTAATTGCCCAGAGGGCAGTTAGGAGTCACATGTAGGCCATACCAGGTAAGGATGGCAAATTTACCTTGTAAAAAGGACATTAATGAACAAGATGGCTTTTTCCAACAATGGATTCATGGTTATCATTAGACTCGTATTTTTTTTAAAAATTCATATTTCACCATTTGCTGTGGAAGATACGAACCCGGGTTTCTAGAACATTACCTGGGAGTCTTGATTAACAGTCCAATGATAATACCACTAAACCAAGATGGTGGTTATATGCCATCCTTTATCAGGATGGTGGCCAGGCCCAGACCCTGCTTCAAGTGAGATCAGACAGATGCCACTCCCTATTCACTGAGAGTGGTCACTGGATCTCCTTTACTAAGATGGCAGCAACACCTAACACCTACTCTTCCCTTATGAAGTCAGAAGTCATATGACACCAGGTTGTAGTCCAACAGGTTTATCTGAATCACAAGCTGTTGGAGCGCTTCTCCTTCGTCAGGTGAAGTGAGAGAGAAGCACACAGGCACAGAATTTGTAAGCAGACAGATCAAAAGATCATACACATAGTGTGAGTGGAATGTCAAATGATAAGTCTCTGCAGCTGATCAAGAGTGTCAGGCAGTGTGATAAAGTGTCAACAGCTGAATAACAAGCGAAGGGGTGACCTATAATCCAATTAATTGAGATAGAGAGATAATTACAAAGAAAATTAAAAATAAGGTAGTGCTGCGGACAAACCAAATGACTGGAATAACATGATAGGTGTAATAGTTGCATGCCGAGAGTCTAACCAAAGTAATAAGTAATCCAAAACTGTACAGGCTAATTATGGTAGAGTGATCATAACAAGTTCAAGTTAGCTTGTTGTCTACCTCATACGCTGCAGGCGATGATGCCCCGAGGCATAGTATATTGGTGAAACCATGCAGACGTTATGACAATGGATGAATGGACACCGTGCAACAATCACCAGACAGGGATGTTCCCTCCCAGTCGGGGAACATTTCAGCAGTCACGGACATTCAGCCTCCGATCTTCGGGTAAACATTCTCCAAGGCGACCTTCGAGATACACAACAACGCAGAATCGCTGAGCAGAAACTGATAGCCAAGTTCCATACCCATGGAGATGGCCTCAACTGTGATCTTGGGTTCATGTCACGCTACGTGACCCCACCACACTGCTCTATATCTGTAAATTCTTCCTTACTCTCCTGTTTTGACACCATCACCTCCATAACTAGTTATGATTGTTAGACCCACACGTCTTCCTTCCTTAAAGATGGCGACCACACCTTCTGTTATTGACTGTGCGTGCCAGTTCTCCTTTACCAAGATGGCAGACGGACACATTAACCGTTTAACCGCCCCGCATTTATTAGACGGCCATCGCGCCTGCGGTCCCATTGCTGGAGACTGCCCATCCTCCTTTACAAAGATGGCGCCATCACCCTTCCTTTCTACCTCAATTAGCTGTACGCCGACTTCCTTGACTAAGATGGCGGACACCATCTGCCTAACGGGTGGAGAGCACAGCCCTACCCTTTACCAAGATGAGGGTATATTTCCGCCGAGGAGGTGGCGTCGTGACATCAATACAGAGCGGCGCAACACGTCAGAGGTCCCTTTGGTCATCCGGAAACCTCCGGAGATTTCCGAAGTGCAGGAGGAGGCGGGAGGGAAATAAACAAGAAACAAGATGGCGGAGCGAGCACTCATGATGGAAGCGGACGGCATCACCAAACGGATCCTGCACGTCGGCACGGGGGAGCTGCCGGACTTCATGGACGGGACAAAGGTAAAACGAAAACAGATAGAGATTGAAAATAAAACACTCGGGTGGCTGTCTGGGGGTGCGGTGGGAGATCTTGCGCCTTCTAACGGCCGCTCCCCTTATTTTGGCAGCGTGCGGAAGGCGAGGCTCTGATCCCGCCTCCTCTATCCTAATTGGACCAGCCCTCTCGTGCAGTTGAGTCCCATTGGCTGCCGTTACCATCTGTCATCAAAACCTCAATTTATCCCGTCACCATTGGCCGGCACGGATGTCCATCTAACAGGTGTCGACCTATCAAAGCGAGCGAGCGATCGGGTTGCGCCCGCATACTGGTCCAGCGTCTGGATTGGATCTTCCCGCTGCCCATCACCAAACCCCACGTTCCGGTTGGAGCGTACGGCTGCCAGTCGCAAACCTACCAGTTCTGATTGGACCGCCCGGCCGCCGATCACGACCCGCCCATCCTGATTGGATGGGACTATGTGTATCTCTTCAAGAGGGCCGTCTATTCGTTGTGACCGGACGTCAATCAGGCAATGCACGCCCCCTTTCAACCCTGATTGGCCACGGAGGCCGGGGGACCAGCGTCCAGCGCTGAGGATAGACTGTCACAAAGCGGAAGAGGCCCATCAGCCCATCGAATCTATCCCACCAAAAACACAATGGTCCCATTTTCTGGAGCTAGGCTCATAGTTTTGAATTTTGACACCTCAGATGCTCGTCCAGGTACTTTTTAGAGGTGGTGAGGTCTCCTGCTTCAGCCCCGCTGTGTGGCAGTGCATTCCAATATCTTGCTTTCTGCCTGGGGACCCTGTAGCCTCCTGGACTCAACTTGGATTTCAGCAATTTCAGAGCCTGACTCCTTCCCGTTATGATTTTTGCCCAACTCCACACCTTAGTCCTGCCGTGACATGGATTGCTTTCAGTTCAGCCGGCACATTCGCACCCTCTCTTAGTCCTGTTAGCACCACATGGATTTTTTTGAACACAGTCTATACTGATTGTCTCCTACTCTTGTTATCACTTATTCCGTTTCTGTGCTGTCCTGGCCCACTGTCAATCATCCCCCTCCTCTGCCTTTCCCTTTCCTGTATCTTTTTCTTTCTGTCTCTCACTCTGGTCTACGTCTCCATTCTAACCGTTTATCTCTTCACCCCCCCACCACTCCCTCCAACCTCACTGGACCAAAAGTATTAACTTTGCTTTCTCCCTGCAGATGCTGCCAGACCTGATGAGTTTTGCCAGTAACCTCTGTTTTTGTTTCAGATCTCCATCATCCACAGTTCTTTGTTTTATTCTATTGCATTCTAGATCCCTGCCATTCTCTGGGTGAAAGGTTTTTCCCCTAGATTCCCTCTAAATCTGCTATCTTTCACTTTAAAATAATGCCCCCTTGTTATTGATCCTTCGACTTAGGGGGACAACTGCTTTCTATCCACCCTGTCATGCCCTCATAATCTTACTGCCAGGTCGTCCAGTCAGTCTTCTCTGCTCCAAAGAAAACAACCTGAGCTAATCCAGCCTCTTTTTATCGCTGAAATTCTTCACCCCAAGCAACATCCTGGTGAATCTCCTGTGGACCTCCTCTCCAATGCAATCATGACCTTCTTAAAGTCTGGGGACCAGAACACACTACTCCAGCTGTCCCAAACAAAATTCTGTACAGCTCCCTGCTCTTAGAATCTATACCACGACTGATAAAGTGTCCTGTATGCCTTCTTAACTAGCCTATTAATCTGTCATACTGCCCTCAGGGATCTGTGGATTAACACCCCAAAATCCCTCTGTTCCTCTGAGCTTCCCAGTGTCCTGCCATTCAGCGAGTACTCCCGTGTCTTGTTACCTTTTTCCAAAGTGCATCACCTCCCATTTCTCACCGTTAAACTCCATCTGCCACTGATCGGCCCATCTGACCAACCTGTTTCTATCCTCCTGTAACCTAACACCTTCCCCCTCCCTGTCAACTACCTGGACAATTCCCAAAACTTACTTGTGGTCCCTCGCCATACTCTTGTCCCCATCATCCTGCCCTTTGACCTACTTCCAGCTTGCTCCCTAACATTTGACCTTGGACCTGAGCTTCTCCATATGATAAGGGGGCAGTGGATAATAAAGACTCAGGGAGTAATGGAGGGACATGACAGAGGAGCAGGAGTAGGTCATTTGGCCCTCAACTCTGCTGTCCCATTCAATATGATCATGGCTGATCATCCAACTCAGTCACTTGTTCCCACTTTCTCCGCATACTCTATGATCCCTTTAGCCCTAAGAACTATATTTAACTCCTTCTCAAAAACATTCAATGTTTTGGCCTCGATTGCTTTCTGTGGCAGAGAATTCCACAGGCTCCCCACTCTCTCGGTGAAGACATTTCTCCCCATCCCAGTCCTAAATGGGCCTACCCCGTAATCCTTACACTGTGACCCCCCTTGTACTGCACTCACTGGTCATCGGAAGCATCCTTCCTGTGTTTTCCCTGTCTGGTCCTGTTAGAATTTTATAGGTTTTGTTGAAATCCTCCCTTTCCGCTTCCAAGTGAAAACAGACCTAACCAATCCAGTCTCTCTTCATACATCAGTCGAACTGTCCCAGGTAAATCAGTCTGGGAAACTCGTCCAGAGCCCAAACATCCTTCCTCAGAGAAGGAGACTAAAACTGCATGTTGTACTCCAGGTGTGGCCTCACAAGGCCCTGCACAATTGTAAGAAGGTCATGACTGATGGACCCAGTGGGCTGAAGGGTCTCATTCCATGCTGTTAAATGTTCTACAGCTGCATTTGCAAAGCCACATTCTCCCCTACCCAACAAGCCCCAGCACCATCTCCGAAGTGTCCCGTGACTGCCTGGCCACAGGTTCATTAGATGGTGAGATACGCAGGTGAATGGATTTCCAGGGCTAGCATCCCAGTTCAGCGGGTATTAGGGAAGGGAAGTCGGCCTTTAGTGAGCCGTAGAGATTCTACTACGCTGTAAGAGACCCTTTGGTCCATCCACTCCATACCAGCTGTCAAACATCCTATCCTCATCTCTATAGATTCTCATATTCCACATTCTAATCCCATTTTCCAGTGTTTGATCTGTAGGCTTGGCGTTTCAATTGCTCAGCTAAATGGTTAGAATCATAGAATCCCAACAGTCTGGGAGCAGGCCATTCGGTCCATCGCATCTGCACTGACCCTCTGAAGAGCATCCTACTCAGACCCTACTCTGTCCCCATAACCCCACATTTCCCATAGTTAACCCACCTCACCTGCAGGCCCCTGGACACTATGCGCAATTCAGAATGGCCAGTCCACCCTAACCTGCACATCTCTGGACTGTGGGAGGAAACCAGAGGAAATGCAGACACGGGGAGAACGTGCAAACTCTACACAGACAGTCGCCTGAGGGTGGAATCAAACCCAGGTCCCTGGCACTGTGAGGCAGCAGTGCTAACCACTGAGCCACCGTGCCACACTTAAATAAGTTTTCCCACCTCCACAACTCTTTCAGGCAGTGAGTTCCAGATATCCACATGGATGGAAAACATTTATCACAAATTCCCTCTTAAACCCCTACTCCTAACCTTATAACTGTGCCCCCTGGTTGCTAAGCCCTCTACTAAAGGCAAAAATGTCTCCCTATCTTTGTCTCCCTGTCTATGCCTCTCAGAAATTTGTACATCTCAGCCGTGTGTGCTCTAAGGAAGCCTCTCTTCATAGCTGAGCCGCTCCAGACAACCCCCTGGTGAATCTCCTGTGTACTGTGTCTCTCTCGTACACTCACATCCTTTCTGCAGTATGGCGACCAGAAGTATATGTCGTACTCCAGCTGTGGCCTAACTAATGTTATGTACACCTCCATTATAACCTCAGTGCGTCACGGAATAAAGGTAAATATCCCATCTGCTACCTTAGCCACCTTATCTATTGCCTTCAATAATCTATGGACGTGCACACCAAGGCCCCTGTGATCCTCTGTACTTCTCAAGACCCTACCATGCAACTTGTACTCTATTGCTTGTTGGTCCTTCCAAAATGCACCACCTTGCACTTTTCAGGAATAGGTTCCATTTGCCTCTGTTCTGTCTAAGGCTTTCCTCTCCCTTCAAGTACCACACCCTCAATTTCCATGTCATAGAGCAGAAACAGATCCTTTGGTCCAACTTGTCAATGCTGACTTAAGCTGAAATAACTCCACCAAGGCTGGTACCCTGTCACCAAGTCCCCCTTTATTTACAAATGGAGAGTCATCGACACTGATCCAGCTCCCTCAGGGCCAGCTCTCTGAGAGAACAGAACCTCTGACCCTCCTGTTTATATCTGTCAGCCAGGGATCCCTGATTGGACCATGCCAATAGTCCAAATCAGGGAACACAGATTCTATGGGATGCACTGCTGACCTCATCACAATCGCTGCACAGAAATCTGCAAACTCAGTGACCATACATCCTGCATTCATTTCTTGATCGTATATTTAAAAGGGAATGGAGTGTAGCAAGTTTTGCTAAAACTATACAAGGCACTGTCAGAACACAGCTATGAATAGTTTTGGGGTCCCTTATCAAAGGAAAGACAGACTGGTATTGGAGACAGCCCAGAGAAGGTTCACTCAGCTGATCCTGGGTATGGAAGGACTGTCTGATGAGGAGAGGTTGAGTCGGTTGGGCCTGTACTCATTGGGAGTTTAGAAGGATGAAACGTACAAGATTCTTAGGGGTTTGACGGGAGATGTGGACAAATTGTTTCCCCTTGTGGGACAGTCTAGGACTAGAGGAACATCATCTCAGAGTAAGGGGTCAAGGCTGAGACGGACAGATTTTTAATTAGGAAGGGCATCAAGAATTGTGGGGAAAAGGCAGGGATTTGAGGATTCTCAGTCATGATGTTGCTGAATGGTGGAGCAGACTCGATGGACTGAATGGACTACTTCTGCATCCAGTCTTCTGGACTGCCCCGTGAAAGGAGATTGGACAGGCTCCGCCTGTATTGTCTAGCATTCCAAAGGATAGGAGGCAATCTCACTGAAACTTACAAGGTGCCGAATGCAGGTTTTCCCGAAACATAAGTGGAAATCTAAGTTCTGAGAGGGATGCAAACAATTTACAGACAGAGCCGATAGGTTAAGGAGTTGGGCAATGTGAGCCCGGTTTGGAAGGGAGAACAGATACAGTTTTATTAACTGGCCCCTGTCAGACCCGCAGTCTGCTGGTTGATCAAGGGGTCCACATAATCAATGTAAAAACACACACTAAGTAACAAAAACATAAAGCACTGTTGCACTTTATTTACAGTTTAAATCACTTAACTTTACCTTAATAAAACTTACCACCTGAGAGCCTTCTCATTCTAACCATCATCTGACAACTATCACAGAGATCGTGATAATTGTGTAAACTTCTGGTATTTCAGGGATATAATTTTTGCCGGTTTATTGAGAATGCTTCATAAGATGCCGGCTAAAACAAAGTACGCTGTTTTATTTAAATGGAGAGTGACTATAGAAAGCTGCAGCACAAAGGGATTTGTGTATGAAATACAGAAAGCTAGCTCACAGCGACAGCAGGGAATCAGGAAGTGTCGTGGAATGTTGGCCCTTATTACAATGGGGTTGGGGTATGAGAGAAGGGAAGTCTTACTGCAGCTGTACAAGGTGCTGGGGAGACTACATCTGGAGCACTGTGAGCAGGTTAGGTCCCCTTATTTACAGAAAGATAGCATTTCATTGGAGGCAGTTCAGAGAAGGTTCACGGGGATGATCTCCGCGATGGAGGGACTGTCTTCTGAGCAAAGTTTAAACAGATTGGGACTGCGCTCACTGGAGGTTAAAGGAATGAGAGGGGATCTCATTGAAATATATCGGATTGTTAAGGGGCTTCACAGGGTCAATGCTGAGAGGATGTTTCCCCCCCATGGGAGGGTCTGGGACCAGAGGGCACAGTCTCAGAATAAAGGGGCACCAATTTCAGACCGAGATGAGGAGGAATTTCTTCTCTCACAGGGTTGAGTCTTTGGAACTCCTTACCACAGAGAGCTGTTCTCTGTCTGACACTGCCACTCTATCTGAAATCTCCACACACTCTCTCTTTCACCATCCCTCTGACACCTCCCTGCACTCTCTCTGATCTCAACCAACTCCACACTAACTCTGTCTGCCTGACACCTCCCTGCTCACTGTCTCTAAGACACCTCTGCAGTCTCTCTCTCTGCTTGACACCCCTGCTTGTCCTGTGTCTCTCTCTCTCTCTGTCTCTGACAGCTCCGCACTCTCTATTTCTCTCTGACACCTCCACACTCTCACTCTCTCTTACTGACACCTCTCTGTGCGCTCTCACTCTCCCTTCCTCCTTCCCTGTCTCTCCCTCTCTCACACACTGACACCTCTGTCTCTCCCCCCCCCTCCCCCCCTGTCTCTCTCTCTCTCTCTCTCTCACACACACTGACACCTCTGTCTCTCTCTGTCACACGCACACTGACACCTCTGTCTGTCCTCCCTCCCCTCGCCGTCTCTCTCTCTCTCTGTCTGACGCTGCCGCTCTGTGTCCTGGCTAGGCCACCTTTCACTATCGGACAATGCGATCTAATGAGGAACGCACAGTTATCGATGACAGCCGGAGCCGTGGGAAACCTATGGAGCTTATCATCGGCAAGAAGTTCAAGCTGCCTGTCTGGGAAGCCATCGTGGTGTCCATGCGCCAAGGGGAGGTGGCGGAGTTTCTGTGTGATACAAAGGTCAGTGCTCACATCGGAGTCTCCGTTCAGCGTTTTCCCACAGGGGTTCCCTGGATCTGGGGCACTGACAGCATCTCTCTTTCCCGCAGCACGTGTTGGTTTACCCGATGGTGTCCAAAAGCCTGCGGAACATAGCAGTCGGCAAGGACCCCCTGGAGGGGCAGAGACATTGCTGTGGGATCGCACAGCTCCATGAGCACCACTCACTAGGACACTGTGACCTGGATGAACTCCAGAAAGATCCCCAGCCCCTCATCTTCCTCATCGAAATGCTCAAGGTACCGGGCTCCGTGTAAACACTGGGGAATCAAGCGGCAGGCAGTAAATGTCCAGCTAAAAGACCCAAAGCCCTTCCCATACACTCCCACTGTCCCCAGTCCCAATGGACCCAAACTCCTTCCCATTCACTCCCACTGTCCCCAAGCCCACTGGACCCGAAGCCCTTCCCATTCACTCCCACTGTCCCCAATCCCAATGCACCGAAACCCCTTCCCATTCACTCCCACTGTCCCCAATCCCAATGGACCCAAACCCCTTCCCATTCACTCCCACTGTCCCCATTCCCAATGGACCCAAACCCCTTCCCATTCACTCCCACTGTCCCCACTCCCACTGGACCCAAACCCCTTCCCATTCACTCCCACTGTCCCCAATCCCACTGGACCCGAACCCCTTCCCATTCACTCCCACTGTCCCCAATCCCAGTGGACCCAACCCCTTCCCGTTCACTCCCACTGTCCCCAATCCCAATGGGCCCAAAACCCTTCCCATACACTCCCACTCTCCCGAATCCCAACGGACCCGAAGCCCTTGCTCGAGGAGGAGGATAGCGAGTGTGGTCAGCTCCCTCACCCTCCGACCACTCTGTGAAACGACCATGTGCCATTGGCTGTTTGGCAGGTGGAGGAGCCAGGTAGCTACAGACAGGAAGCCTGGGCGATGACGGATGAGGAGAAGCTGGAGGCAGTCCCTCTGATCCACGAGGAAGGCAATCAGCTCTACAAGGAGGGCAAGGTGAAGGAGGCATGCAAGAGGTACCACGATGCCATCGCCTGCCTGAAGAACCTGCAGGTGAAGGTGAGGGGCAGTGGGACAGCGGGCACTCAGTTCGGGTCAAAGGGCAGAGCTGGGGTCAAAGGGCAGAGGTCAATTGGCAGCTGAACCACTGGGCACTCGAGCGCCCCCCTCTGTTTCTCTCTCGTCTTGCAGGTCAGGGGTCAATACTGCTGTCGGTTTGACATTGGCATTCACTGATCTGCCCTGTTGTGTGTGTCTCTCTCTCTCTGTCTCTCTGTGTGTGGGGCTGGGCCGGGTGTGTCCCAGGAGAAACCGGGCGATGAGAACTGGATGCGGTTGGACCAGATGATCACTCCACTCCTGCTGAACTATTGCCAGTGCAAGATGCTGACTGAGGAATACTATGAAGTGATTGAGCACTGCACATCCATTATCTCCAAGTATAACGGTAATGCCCCTCTGTAATTCATTGGCTGAGCTCTGAGGGGGGTATCCGAGGGGATTAGCATCGTGGAACCACACTGTTCACAACAGGCCATTTAAGTCTACACCGTCAAACATACCTACACCAGTCCCACACTAAGCCCATAGCCTTCAATGTTGTAACACCTCAGCTGCTCATCCAAGTATTTTTTAAAGGATGTGAGGTTTCCTCCTGTCTCAGGCAGCGGATTGCACCATCCTCTGGGTGAAAAAGCTTTTCCCTCAAATCTCCTCTAAACCTCCTACCTTCTAAAGGGGACAGCTACTTTCGATCCACCCAGTCCATGCCCCTCATGATCTTAGAGTCATACTGCACAGAAACAGACCCTTCAGTCTAACACATCCACGCCAACCAGGTTTCCCCAAACTAAACTAGTCCCGTTTGCCTGCATTTAGCCCATATCCCTCCAAACCTTTCCTATTCATGTACCTGTCCAAATGTCACTTAAATATTGTAACTGTACCTGTATCCACCACTTCCTCTGGCAGTTCATTCCACACACAAACCATCTTCTGTGTGAAAAAGCTGCACCTCAGGTCCCTTTTAAATCTTTCTCCTCGCATCTTAAAAATATGCCCCACCTAGTTTTAAGCTCCCTCACCATGGGGAAAAAAGATCTTTGCTATTCACCCTATCCATGCCCCTCATGATTTTATAAACCTCTCTAAGGTCACCCCTCAGCATCCGACGCTCCAGGGAGAAAAGCCCCAGCCTACCCAGCCTCTCCCTTTAACTCAAACCCTCCATTCCCAGCAACATCCTGGTAAATCCTTTCTGAATCCTTTCTAATTCAGTAATGTCATTCCTTCAGCAGGGAGATCCGAATTGAACGCAATATTCTAATAGTGGCCTAACCAATGTCCTGTACAGCCGCAACATGACCCTCCCAACTCCTTTACTCAACGCACTGACCAAAAAAGGCAAGCGTACCAAACGCCTTCTTCACTGCCCTGTCTACCTGCGATGCATCTTCAAAGCATGTTTTCTGAAGAAGGGTCCTGCCCCGAAACGTCAGCTTTCCTGCTCCTCTGATGCTGCCTGGCCTGCTGTGTTCCTCCAGCTCCACACTGTGTTATCTCTGACTCCAGCATCAGCAGTTCTTACTGTCTCTGTATACCTGCACCCCTAGGTTTCTGTGTTTGACAACACTCCCCAGGGCCCTACCATTTCACCTCTATCAGCTCCCACATCAGCATTCTCTGCTCCAGAGAAAACAGCCCGAGCTTATCCAGTCTCTGTCTATCGCTGAAACGCTCCATCCCAGGGCAGCGTCCCGGGGAATCTCCCTCTATACCCTGTCCAGTACAATCCCATCCTTCCTACAGTGTGGGGACCAGAGCTGCACACAGTGCTCCAGCTGGGGCCTCACCAAAGCCCTGTACAGCTCCAAGATCACCTCCCTGCTCTTACAATCTGTACCACAGCGATGTCCCATATTCCTCCCTAACTCCCGCATTAACCTGCTGTACCACCCTCAGGGATCTGTGGGCCTCAGTGAGCTTCCTAGTGTCCTGCCATTCACTGAGTTCTTCCTTGTCTTGTTCCTGCTTCCAAAGTGCATCACCTCCTATTCCTCACGGTTAAAGTCCATCTGCCACTGATCGGCCCATCTGGCCAGTGCTGAGGGAGCCCCCACTGTCGGAGGGTCAGCGCTGAGGGAGTGGGCAATGTCAGAGGGTCAGTGCTGAGGGAGTGCCTCACTGTCGGAGGGTCAGTGCTGAGGGAGCGGGCACTGTCGGAAGGTCAGTGCTGAGGGAACGGGCACTGTCGGAGGGTCAGTGCTGACGGAGTGCCGCACTGTCGGAGGGTCAGTGCTGAGGGAGCGCAGCACTGTCGGAGGGTCAGTGCTGAGGGAACGCCGCACTGTCGGAGGGTTAGTGCTGAGGGAGCGCCGCACTGTCGGATGGTCAGCGCTGAGGGAGCGGGCACTGTCAGAGGGTCAGTGCTGAGGGAGCGGGCACTGTCAGAGGGTCAGTGCTGAGGGAGCGGGCACTGTCAGAGGGTCAGTGCTGAGGGAGCGGGCACTGTCGGAGGGTCAGTGCTGAGGGAGTGGGCACTGTCGAAGGGACCGTACTGACACTTACTTTTCCTACCATCCTGCTCCTCCTCCTGGGTTCCAGATAACGTGAAGGCGTATTTCAAACGTGGGAAGGCGCAGGGGGCAGTCTGGAATGATGTGGAGGCTCGGAAGGACCTGTCGACAGCGGTGAAGCTGGACCCGAGCCTGGCCCCCGTGGTTAGCCGCGAGCTGAAGGTGCTTGAAGAGAGGATGCGGCAGAAGGACAAAGAGGAAAAAGTTCGCTTTAAGGGGATGTTCCAATGAGCGGCGAGGGGAACCTTTTGAGGGGCGGGGAGGGGATGACGATGGGAGTCTGCCAACGTCCCTTCCCTCAACCACACCCCCCCCCCCTGGCCCCGGGAACTGCTGTCACACTAATGTACCTGAGTGTATGTGTGTAGTGTTGGGGAGGCGATGTGTTAGTGAGTGGTGTGCGCTCTCCCCCCCCAACATGACGACCATCTGACAGAGCAGCTTGGTGTTCGCACCGTCATTCCTTAAGGACTGGCCAATCGCCTGTGCACAACAGGCTGGGCCAGGGTGTTAGTGTGTGTCTGTGAGTGTGAGAGTATGTGTCTGTGAGTGTGAGAGTATGTGTGTGTGAGAGTGAGAGAGTGTGTGTGTGTGTGTGAGTGTGTGTGTGTGTGTGTGAGAGTGAGAGAGAGTGTGTGTGTGTGAGAGTGAGAGAGAGTGTGTGTGTCTGAGTGAGAGAGTGTGTGTGTGTGGGAGTGTGAGTGAGAGTGTGTGTGTGTGTGTGTCTGAGTGAGAGAGTGTGTGTGTGTGGGAGTGTGAGTGAGAGTGTGTGTGTGTGTGTGTCTGAGTGAGAGAGTGTGTGTGTGTGGGAGTGTGTGTGAGAGTGAGAGTGTGTGTGTGTGTGTGAG